TTTTAACATCCCAAGGGGGTCCTATGCAAACATAAAACACCACATTGGTGGGTACATTGGGAGTTAGTATTAGCACAGGTTGCCCAGAGAGGTGGTGGATGCACCATCCCCGGAGACATTCAAGGCCAGGCTGGATGTGGTTCTGGGCAACCTGATCTAGTAGAAGGGGGGGTGGAAATAGATGACCTTTGAAGGTCCCTTCCAACCCAAGTCTATTCTATGATTCTATGAGCAGTTTAACTTGTAGCTGAATGAAAATAGCTCTGTAAAAACAAGCTGCACAACAGTAGTCTTGATTTCAGAACTACCCATGATGGAGAACCCTCTGCAGTCCCTTGGAAATTGTTCCCACTGAAACTATGCCCAGTGCTGGAAACCTGCAACATGTTTCTCCTCTGAGTTTGCCTGGCATCAGCTTCTGGCCATTAGCTCCTGGTAATGTGCTGTTTGCTCAACAGAAAAGAACCTCTATTATCAGAGATTTATTTCCCAGCTGGGTACTTCAGGATTTTGACCCAGTCATCCCTTAACCTTTTCATCAATGAACAGTGATCTCCTTGAGTCACACTCCAGTTCATGCCTTCCAGCTCTTTATTCATTCACGTGGCTCTTTCGTGAGCTTCTAATGTGCCCAGCGAGCTGGTCCTCTGCCCAGCAGAGCGGGGTGCAGATTTGTTCTGTAGCAGCCACACCAGTGCCCAATTCAAATGTCACAGATCCTCCCCGTTCCTGCCCAGTGTTTTTCTTCTTACCTTTCCTAAGCACTTTTGGGTTTTGGCTCCTTCTCCCTGCTTCCTAGTGTTGAGCTTCCCACTCAGTACTGCAGAGTATTCATTTGATGTTGCCTCAAGGGATGCAAGAGCTGTACCACAGCCAGATTGTTGGTGGTTGCTGGTGATAGGGGGTACATGGCAGCCTCCTGAGATTGGTACACAGCCAGTTTTTATCCATAGATCTCCTTAATCCCACAGATCTTGGTCTCAGGACAGTGTAATGTCCTAGTAAAGAATAATTTACTATGCATGCAACAAGCCGTACCCTTTTGCATGCTAAATCCTTATCATCATCATCCTGAGGAGGATGGCAAAAGACTACACATGTAGCTGGAAGATATTCCTGTATGTCCAGAGGTTTCAGGAGCTCTACATCCATTAACACCAGCTGAAGCATCACACTTTGAAGCTCATTTTCTTGAGGTTGATCACTGTATTGTAAGTCATTGTATAAATACCTTTTAGAAAATTATTTTGTTATTCTCTTAATTACTTCATTTACTTGATCTATATCTACAGGCCTGTTTCAGTGACAGTGATGGAGGGGGCAAGCCCACATTCTCTCATAAATCTTCCTTCTTTTTTTTCTTCTATTTTGGTATATAGAGACAACTACTTTGTCTTAATAGCACTGCAAAAGATTATTTCAGTGGCCTGTAATACTTCATCATCTGATGGAAGAATACTTCACATGGAGGAAGACAAAATCCCCTTCTTCAAGTGTTTACAACCTGAGGCAACAGCATACAAAAACATGGTAGATGTAGTCATTGTAAGCACAAGCCCTTTACCTTTATGTATTTGTTAGAAATGCATGACAGCCATATGTGGTCTTCTGTCATTAACTGGCTATTGCAGTGCACAAAGTTGGGTGGTGTAAACACCTTTCTATGATTTAGCAAGCTATTTTAGACTATCATCCTGTTCAAACCGTCCCGTTTCCGTAGTAAAGAATCTCAGAGTCTCATAGCAAGTCAATGCAAGTGAAAACATGAGCTTACACCTTCAGGCTAAATCTGACTGTTAGAAGGATTTCCCTGCAAAATCCCTCTTTCCCATTTCCGCCTGTTAACTCGCACTAGTGCCTGGTGAAATGCCTCAGTAAGAACCAGAGCAGCTCTGATGAAGTGGGCTGAGCCAGGGAAAGTAGTCTCCAACCATCATTCCTTCACATGTATGTCAGCTTTTCCTTGTGGTACCGAGGGATTCCAGATCTTTAATTTGTGTCTTCTAATGCTAGAAAAAAGAGGTTGCAAATCCCTGACCTGCTTATTCAAGTGGTTGGCAATTGCATTAAAGGGCTTTTTTTCTGGTAAGGCATGAATGACAGCCAGGCAATACAAAATCTCTTGTAACTCTCTGTGTGATCCGTACTCCTAGTTCTTCATTCAGAGAGTCTCTTTCATCCAGTGGCCAGTGGAAAAGCTCACAGGAGGAACATGATATCTGTAAGCACCAAAGATTACCCAGTGCCTTGTATTTTGTCATCACAGAATACTGATGTCTAAAGTATTAGGAGCTGAAAACTATTTATATGCTTTTGTCATTCTTATACATGACTTGTATGAGAATTTGGAGGAAATATGTGAAAAGAGACACTGTAAAATACGTTGTCAGGCCTGAACCTGCCCATAAAATTTAGCTTGCAAAAACAGCCTTTCATCTTTCTGCCTTGGCAAGGCTCTTTTCAATGGGAGATGTGACAGATAAAAAAAGCTATGTGATTCTGGACAATATCAGTGTGAATGGCCAGTGAGAAAGGTCATCAGCCTGGTCCCATTTTAGCCTACTACTGCTTTAAAGAAGCGATTTTATCACGGGGTGTTAAAATAAGCAAGTGTAAAGCTGACTTTGAAATATATTTATGGTTCAAATATATTCATGGTCCAGGTTATTTTAGAACTGCATGTGTTAAAAACAAGCACCCATCATGGCGTGATGGTATGTGCCAAAGCTACAGTTAAATTATGTATCTGTACCAGTTGCATGCATCAGTGCACACACAAAATTCCACAATCTTTGGCCTGTCACTTGCAGAAGCTCACATAGTGCTAATATTCCATGCTTAGCAAGAGCTGTTTCATTTTCCAAGCAAAAGACTGCTGCCTGGTTATTACTATTAAAATATGCCATCTGATGATGATTTTGTACACCTTACATTTCTCTGCAATACAATTTCTGGCAAGGAAAACTTCATCTTCATATAAAAGCAGCTAGAAAACATCTTGGAGGTGTACTATTAAATTATTGTCTTGCAAAGAGATTCCTTCCACAGCCTGTTGTAAGCAGTCCATTACAAAATTCACAGCACAGCTTGTAGAAAACACATGAAGATTGGTTCTCATGGATGGGCTGAATGCCTTCTCCACTCCAAATCTCTGTCAGTGTGATTACAGCAACTTCTTCCTTTTCATATGATTTCCAAATCTAAGGGACCTCTGATCTAGCTGTGTTTGACTTCATTAGCATCTTGAGGAAGAACCCATCCTGTGGAGGAAACCAGAGGCATCCAAAAAGTGTGTCCATTCCTTTTGTCATCCGTCAGACTCTCCTCTCTTCTACTTCTCAAGTGGTGGTAGAAGTCCATAACAATATGGCACATCCTTCAAATTCAAGATAGCACCTCAAGGCCCTACGATTACAATAGTAACTGTTCAACGATGGCCTGACTGAAGTAGTTGTTAGCTAAGTCAGCAAATGGTTTCAACAGTCCTGTGGCAGAGAAAGTTCAGATCAGCAGAGGTAAGCACAAGGATACTGCTCAAGGCTTGGGAAGCTCTTGAGCCACACAGAGCAAGAAGCAAAGGAGCGTTTAGTCAGATTTCTCAATCCCCTCTCTGTGATGTTCTTCCCAGTACAGAGCACAGCGAGAGATGTGCCAGTGGTCCAGCCTGCTGTGGCCACTTTGATGTTCTTGTATAGAGAGAAGACAAAGCTCAATGTCTGGCTGAAATGCCAGTTCGCATGTGCTCAGGAGCATGTTGAGGGATTGTCTCTGCTTAAGGAGTCTATTGTGATTCTCTTCCTGATGGAGGTCAGCATGGGGCAAGTTGCATGTTTGACAAGCCTGGTAGAGTGAGGAGAAGGCAAGATGACAGGATGTGCACTGCATCCATAAGGATGCTACAGTGTTGAAGAGGAATCTTTAGCAATTAAAGTGAGAATTGGATGCGTGAGGGAAGCTTTGTGCCAGAGAGGTGAACGTGTCATCTACAATGGAACAAAGGTTGAGAGAGTCATCATCAGTGAGACGTGAAGCATCAAAAAAATGGCAAGAAAAGTTTATGGCACAACCTGAGCTGCATAAAGATAAAACCCCTGAATTTCTCTGTACATAGTCCTTTCATTTCCCCTGATCTACAGGCACAAATTGTACTCCAAAATAGAAAGACAAAGAAACTCCCAGTAGAACTGAGTATTTTTTCCAGAGTCTTATAAGGAATATTTTGCTTTTGCCATACTAGTTCCACTCTGGCCCAGATATATAATGACCCAGAATTATAATCATCTTCTGGCCACTAGGTACCACTTGTGAAGTACCTGGAAAATGGCTGTATGTGTCACAGGAAACACAGCAAAAGATGGCATTTATTCCCCACTTCCCCAAGGTGGGCAGTTGAGAAACAAGGCAAAAATAGATGAGTCAGAGAAAGTTAATCACTCCACCACCTCAACAGAAAGCTGAGATGGACTTTTAGCCTTTCAGGTCTATTCATGTAGGTTCTTCCAGTGTCAGCCTCATACAGTGTAGTAAGCAGTGTGAGTAATACTGAGCATATGTTGTTTGCTCTCTCATCCTCTCCAGAGGAAGCAGCATATGCACCAGTGTGTCTTGTTCGATTGGCTTTTCTGCTGTCTTTTTAAATGGAAGCTCTGCTTTGCATTGATGCAACAGAAAGCAGCTCCAAAAGATTCAGACCCTGAGCTTCAAGGGGAAGGTGGTGGAATCGGGACAGTGCTTCATTATTGCATGTGTTTATTGCCCAGCTTCTGAAGAATGAGAAAGTTCTGCCTGGGTTACACACAGGCTTTACTCTGACTGTAGTGCTACCATGCAGTGTCATCCTAACAGGGTTTCTTCAGCCAGCACTTTTTGGCAATCACTGTCTTTGCTATGGGACAGGAAAATTCAACCTCTTTGAGCAAATTAGCAAGCTAGCCCTCAGAAATATTGCTAGGGAGCTGGATGCACTTTCTGTGAGTTAGCTAGCAAGGCCCAGCCCCTTCTGCTGACGTCTTTCCTCTCTATCACACATCAGACTTTTCCCAGTGGAGCTGGAGAACAGGCTTCAATGAAAACTGCCTGTTTGCAGCTATATGGAGATTGCAGGCACCACAATCACTATTTCCTCTACCTGACCTGGAGCAGAAACTCCATCATTAGGATAGAAAGGTAGCCTTGTTGCCTAGCAAAGGTGGGATGATTTATCTCTGTCTCTAGATTGGTCCCTTTTTCACTGCTGCACAAGAGAATTGTTTTCAGACTTTCAAGGAGAATGAAGCCAGGATAGAAATCAAAGTGGATGTGAGAGAGCTGCTATCCCAGGGAGGAGAAGGAGTCACAGGGTTTCTGTGCTTTCTGTTCCTGTGCAGCCCAGGACAATGGTTTTATCTGCCCCAGTGATAGCCCTGGGGGCTACCTTAGGGACTGCAACTAGCATCCTTGCCCTCTGCGGTCTCACCTGCCTCTGCAAATGCAAGCAACCTGGGAAAGGACTCTCAGAAAAGGACCAAGAGGAGGACACGGAAAATACTAAGCCCAGTGTGCTTCAGCCAGTCCAGCAAGTAAGACACAGTCTCTGATTTACCTTTAAATGCAGAGGGTGGGGATGCAACTTTTCTGTTCGGCTTCTCAGCATGTGATTTCTGCTGCCTATTTATCTGCTTACTGTGTTCAGGATGTGGCAGCTTGTTAATGGGAGGAGGAGTGAGGGGATAGCCGAGATGGGCTCAGTGACCCATGGAATTACTGGAGCAGGAGACAGCTGCCACATTGCCAAAGAGAGAGCTGCTAACGGGAAAAATAGGGGAGGAGGACTGGAAATGCTGCTTAGATCACAAAGGAAATGATTTTCTAAGGAAAGACTGGACTTTACCATGTGCATGCAGCGTTGTAAAGAGGAGATGACTCCTGCTGGGATCTCCTATAGCAGCTATTTCTCTAACTCTATCCACAGTATCTTATGGGTCCTGCAGGATAGCTCCCTGTCAACAGCTGGTTTCTTGTGAAAACCATCCCTCCTCCTCCCTCTGCCCCTCTGACTGAGGGGATTAATTATGTGTGAAGTTAAAATGAGGCACTGTAATGATAATAAAATGTGACAATCTGTAGTGCGGTGACTGGACAACCTCATCACAGTGTGAATTGCTTTTTCATTTACTCTAACAGCAATGTGGAGTATGGATGACATCCAGCATGCCTGTGTGGTCTTTGTTGCTTGTTAGAATCCAAAACCCCTGATTTACCCCTGACCTCAGTACAACAGAGAGCAAGGGGAATTATATGACCCTGCTAATACATTTATTAATGGGAAGCTCTCCTTCAAAAGGAAATATTTGACTGATTTCCTTCATTAATTATGGTCTTTAGCATGAGCTATCACGCTGATCAGTCTCTGAAAGTACTACCTGTTGCTCGATGTTTGTATGTGCCTACATCCTTTTCGCTTTCATCTAGCCATTCAAGCAAATGTTAGCCACTTCCAAAGACCAGTGACCCGTTGTATAACAGTCTTTGTTTGCCTTCTAATTAACTAAGCTGCCTGTTATTTTTGTATTCTTAAAGAGGGTAGCAGGAGTCCTAATTGAACTCTGTGATGTTTGTAATTACATATTCAGCTCTCTTTGGCTACTGCTCTCAGGCTCTTACTAGAAAAGAGCCCTGGCATCCTCCTGTTTCTGTTGCAGTTTGCTCAGAGAAAAGATGACCAGATCTACTAATTGTACTGCAAGATCTGGTGCAGATACACAGAATCATGTTCCCAGAGCTTTTGGTTGCTTAGGGGAGGGAGGATTGCTCCAGTGACCATGGATGAACATCTGCACTGAGTTTAGGACTTCTCAAGGGGTTGCTGCTAATTCAGAGCATTCACCTATGAGCACAGTGAATATGTCCAAGGATCTGTTTCTATTTTCCTAGGATGAATTTCACCTGCTATCGTGTCTGATAGTTTTGTCATGTCCTTTTCTTGTCTTTTCTGACCCATACAGGGGATTTGCCAAGTCTCGTATATACGGATGTATAGTAATGTTGAGATTTTCCTAGTTTACTGTTAAAATGAATGAGAACTGTGTAACTTGGACAGCCATATCACTTAGCATAGCATTTTATCTAGCTGTTGTCTGGAACAACGCTAACCACAGATAACTTTACCATCAGTCTCTTTCTACAAGAGAACTTTTGTCGTTGTAATCTTCTGGCTCAGAAACCACTCAAATCATTACCTTAACTCCACGACCCTTGGACTGGTCATTTTCCTTTTATACAACCTTTTGGACTGTATCTTGTGAAAACGTTAATCCATCCTGGAGTTTGTCCTGCAGGGTGTCATCCTGCTTGCACGACTGAAATAAGCAATAAGTCACTGTGAAGTCCAACCAAGCTTTCATACCCAGCAGCTATCAGCTTATGGTCCTCGCAACGTTTCTGCACTCATCATGTTTCTCCATAACTTAATCCAGTACTTGACCAACAGGGGTTGAATTATTCAACCTGGCCTCCATGTATGACTGTTACCTGAGTGATTGTACTCCTTTAGCACTGTAGACTTTCTAATTACAAGTATTATTTCTAATGATGTTACTGGGTTTGATTTTAGCCTTTTTCCTTTTAAAGAAATCTGGACAAACTCTAGCAGCCGAATGAACATTCTGTCACAGAAAGTGCAAAATGTTCTTAGTTTGAATATTCAGTATGTTTAAACATGTTTTTTTTTTGTGCCAGTTAAAATAGTTTTCTTGCCAGGAACATGCATTCCCCTGTGTTGTCAGTGATTCAGAATCAGTCTATACCTTGATGGCGTTAATCTCAGATTGAGTTCCGAGCTTGTGAAGTTTTATCATCTGTGTCTACGTTTATAAATTGTTCTGTTGGGACTATTTCCCTTCTGCATTAATATCCTGTATGTCCTAGCCAGTGCTTGACATAATTATTGAAGCCTGTCAGGGCCACTGATTCTGATAAACAGGGTTGACAAAAGAGAGACGAAGCAAGACTGCATTTTATTCACTTGTCATGTCTCCCATGACAGCAATGCTTGTATTTGCTATAGACAGAGGCTCCCGAGGGACATGCCCTGCATATGTGAGGAGGAAAAGCTCAAACGCAAAGATATATCTACAGAACCATTAAAACTGCTGGAAATATGCAAAGTCTCAGCAAAATGTGCAGATGAGGATTCCTAAACACATCCAGCAATGGCAATAATTTGGTGCATTGCTTGAGGGACATTGGGCAGGGACCCTGAAGGGTCATTTGCAGCCTTCTTGCTACTTTTGGTTCCTTTGCTTTCATGCATTTTATGCAGAACTATCTGAACTCTTCTGTTCATCTCTTTCTTTTAAGATACTGCTGCTGATTTGGAGCTTTCATAGGGCATTGCTACGTAACTGGATTAGCAGACAGCACTTGGGAACAGAGCTGGCAGCAAAAATAATAAACAGAGGCAGATGCAATTGGAAGAGGGGGTGGGTTAGTCCCACTGTGCTTGCATATGTCTCTCATCTCTAATTCTGCAGAGCAGACAGACAAGAGGAATACTGAGACCCAGTGGAGCTCTTACTTGCTGTATGGATGTATGCTGATGGATTTCCTGACTAAATGTCTGCCTTTTAGCAAGTGGAAGAAAAGATTGTACTGAAAATACCTCACATTTGTACGGTGTTTCTTCATCCCAAAGGATCCCAAAGTGCCAGGCATAATGCTCAGGTGTGATGGTCAGTGATTCGTCAGTGATTGGCAGGACAGCAGCCCTATACAGCAGCTTCAGGAGAGAAAGAACAGCGGATGCTGAGCACCATGGCAGGCACTATGTGTGTGTTAGAAGTAATGCCTTTGCAGAACAAAAGTGCCTGTTTTTTCATGCTGTTGTCTAGTGGTTCCTAACCTATTTTGCTTGGTTGGTCTGCTTTAATTGCAGAAGAATGGAGAACTGCGTTTAAGGTTTGGATGAGTAACTTCAAGTTGCCTAAATATTTTATGACTGATGTGGCTCACATGTCTAAAAGAGGGATCTCACTCACAGACCCGCACCATGTGATTTACACAACATCTAAACTCAGCTGAATGCTAGGTGGGGACTGCACACAGTGACGTCTTTCTTTCTCAGCCCACTTCTCTGTCAGAGCCCTTCAAATTAAACAAGACAAAACGCTGTGCTACACAGCGGACTTCTTAAACACTGATGCACCTTGAGAACATGGAGTCAGTGACCTAAATAGCTCTTTACCACTGCCAAGTGCATGTAACCATGGTGCTATGAGCTCCATAAGCAGAGTATGACTAAAGAGCTAAAATCCAAGACAGCTCCCTTTCTTCAGCTCTGTTTCTTGAGGGATAGGTATGCTCCCTCAGGACATGTGAACTGGGAGCACACCATCCCAACACAGGCAAGTGCTTGAGGGCATCATTTATATTCATTATTAATAGGAAACAGTGACATTAATGAAAAACTTTAATTACAATTGCAAACATTTTCTGGCTCACCCTCAATCTATATTTAACACAGAATGGGTTGGCAGGCGGCAGGGTTGGAGGCGATCCCACTGCACAATAATCCAGCAAAATGGCAGGTTTACTTCTGCTTTTTGTCTTTTGTGTTTTGGAAACATTAATAAAATCTGGTGCAAGGGTCATTTGCTTTTGTTCCTTCATGTAGATGAATCCAAATATAAATGAATAAGGAATGATTTCAGTAGTCAGCAGACAGGATCCTTTCTTGGGACATAAGGAAAGAGGAACTGCTATATTCCACTAACGTATTTTTCATTGTTTTGGGGGAACAGCCATGCCTTTGTGACAGACTTTGCTTGGGCTGCCTGGGCATGACACTGCCTGTCAGATCCTTCCTCTCATTCCATGTCCACAATTCAGCAGGGAATTGAAACGTTAGGAACAAACTGGAATCCAAATTTCAATCCTGGTGTAATAAAGGGGAAATGTGTGCCTCTGGGTCAGGCAGAGCTCTGGTCCACAGAGCCAAGAAATAGTCCGAGAGGCTGAATTGGAAACAAATACCATACATCTCTACAGCAAAATTAACTTCATGGCTGGTTTTGCTTCTAAGAGAAAACACAGACTTATGAGAGAAGGATTTACTGATACGGGAACAGAGGAATAATCAAACATTAAGAACATACCTTTTTCTTGTTGCAACCAAACATCTACAGGGGGGTAAATCTGGAAAGACATACACCAGGTACAAGGGTATTGGCTTTGGCAAGAATATCCCTGGGCATACAGACAATGGTTCTTACACCCCAAGAAACAATGATGGTAAGAATGACTAGAGGCATCATCTTTTCTTCCTTGTTCTTAGCTTGGTTAGCACTGAGGGAATCAGAAGAATTAGTGTAATCAGCACAAAAGTAATAAACAAGGTTTTAATTTGCAGTTCAACGTTAAGAAAACGGCAGAGCCAGTCCAGCCTCGAGCACTCCTGAAGTTTCCCAACATTTATGGCCCCAAACCCATAGTAACTTCACCTGAAATTGTTAACTACACGCAGTACTCCCTGAAGACAACAGAAGAACCAGCTACTGGAAAACAGGCTGGTTTGGATGAGAACAGGATGAAGATCCAAGTCAATGAAGAGCTGTTTGTTCTCCCACAAAACGGTAGGAGCATTTGGTCTTCATGCTAACAATTGCTTTTCTTAGTGTAGATCTGTAACGCTTCTGAGCATAATGTGATTGTAGTTAGAGAAGTAAATGGGAAAACAAAGACATGGGTGCTTTTTGCTTTCTTGTAATGAACATACTGAGTTCAGTCTCCAATGCATGTGTTTAGTAGTTAGTAGTCATGTAGATCATGACAGCCTGTTGACAAAGCTGTAGTTGTGTCTGGTTCTGAATTGGTTTCACTTAAACATCTTTTGTTCACTGGAAGCAGACATTTTGCACAAAAGCACGTTTTGGTGTAGTTTTACTGAGACCATTTGCTAGAATATAGGTGAGGTATCTGACCAAAACTAGGCAGAGTAGCTCCTCCAGGACAAATGCCAACTGTCCCTACCAAGGATATTGGCAGCAGAGGTTTAAGCTTCTACTTTATTTTCTCTGCTCTTATTTTCCCCACTGGTTTGGTGAGATACCCTTGGCTTTAATGATCACTGAAACCAAAGGCTGACACCTCAGGTTCTTTTGCCAAACAGAATTCTTGTTTCCAGCCAGCCCAAAGGGTAACATGCCAAAGCCTGGAACATAAGATTCCTGGGGTCTTAGAGAAAATGCAGTGTTAATTATGTACTTCTGGCAGCATGTCTGGGTTGCTTCCATACTGATCTTTACATCCACAACTGTCTTTTAACAGAATAATTGACTCTTATGGTTACTGAATTAATACAATCTTCCTGATGATTTGCCAGGGACACGGTGCCATCTGCCATGGCTTTATAAAAGAGTTTAGGTTTTTGGAATTGTTTGAGGTCATATTTCTGTCCTTCTGGGAGGATGATTCCTACATTATCCCCTCCACCTTGACACTTGTGAGTATGGAAAAGTACAAACCATTGGAAGCAGCTGCATTGGAGGAAGAAGCTGTCTGAGCCACATCCTTGGGTGTCAGGGAGAAGATTATAGGGTGGAGAGGCTGAAGGAGGATGGCTGCATGTGGGCTAAAGCTTTATGTAAGTGTGTTGGTGTAAGAGCCTCCCTGCACTGCTAATGACATAAGCAAGTTTGCTTCCTGCTGCGCCTGATTTCGTAGCTCAAGTGTTGCTGAAATAAAGCAAGAATTGTTGCGTTCTTATTTTGGTGTCACATTGAACTGATCTGGACTGTGGCTGGCTGAGATTTTTAGGAGGAAATGTGCTAGTCCCACTATTATTTTCTGTGTGAATCAGAACTGACCTTGCAGATAACAGCTTTTGATGACAAAAAAAGCTGTGGCTTCCCTTTTAGTCTTGCAGTTTGATTCGTTTCAATATAAAATACGTACTCGAATTCAAAATCATACATGGAGCAATGGCCTCAGCTTCCCAAGCTCATTAACTTCCACCTGGTCAAGAGTTATGGGAATAGATGCCTTCTACATGGCAAAGACTATATTGTTAAAATGAAAAATAAAAAGATTTAGAGAGATCTGAACTAAAGCACAGCAGCTCAAAAGCAGGTTCATGTTCTCATTCCAGGGAACACAATATTCAATTCCTCAATGCAAGTTAAAACCAATATAAACCAATATAACAAGTAATGAGTGTAGTTTTGACACCTTGGCTTAGGCACAAGGTAAAAGAGCAAGTGTGTGAACCATCTTAGAGCACAAAGTGGTGGAGAGCAGAAGGCTTGTCCAAGTGCTATAGAAAGAGCTGAAAGGGTGAGAAAACGGTGCAAAAAGCAGATATGATGGAGGAAGAAGGAATAGAAATGACATTCCTGCACACAAGGAGCAAGAATAGTAAGACGCTTAGAAAAGCCAAGTCAAGACAGGGTGGTTTTGTGCTCCTTGGAAGGTAAAGACCTGCTTGCTAAAGGCGTTATTTCAGTTGCAGGTGTAGTAAAGGATGTGTGTGTCACGGAGCACTTGAACCCCGAGAGGGCAGCCAGCTGTAACCAGGCCCCTGAGCTGCGCTACTCCCTGCTGTATGATCAAGAAAGAGCTGAGCTGCGTGTGGCCCTTCTGGAAGGTAAGGGGCAGAGGTCTTCCACCGGTCAGTCATTCTCCATCTGGAGAGTACAAGACACCTTGTACCATTGATTTTATAGAGAGTTCCCCTCCTACCTTAAAACCAATAAATGCCCCCAGGACCACTGGCTATTTCACTGGTTCTGTTCTTGCAGAATAGGAATACCTGGGGATGGCAGTGATTGAAGTGAGCATGGAAACATGGAATAGTTTGGGTCAGAGGAGACCTTCAAAGCTCATCTGGTCCAACCATGTCGCAATGAGCAGGGACATCTTCAACTAGATCAGGTTGCCCAGAACCACATCCAGCCTGGTCTGGAATGTCCCCAGGGATGGAGAACAATTGTTTGCAGAGCTCAAAAGCAGAAGTCAGGCACCAAGATGGGCCTCTCCTTCCTCGGGGTACAAAGCAACCTCTTCTTTCTATTTTTTTCTTTTGGGGCAATGGGAACAGGATTGCTGTCTCCTTCCTCTCTATAACTTGCATTCTTCGATTGACCCACTCCTTACTGCCTCTTCCTCCAGTCAAGGTCTGAGCTGGAGACACCAAACTTATCTTGTAGTCCACTGAGGAAGGCTCCTCTGCTGCGCCTGGCCACGCAGCCAGGCTCTGTGTCACTCTCTGAAGTGGGAACTGACAACTGTAACAGCTTCTCTGCTCAGGGCTGGAGCATCATCAGTTCCTCTGGGAAAGCAAAATAAGCTGAGTGAATAATTCATGCACTGTGCAGATCTCTGTGGAAACCTCATCAAATCACACCCTCTGAGCCGAGAATCGGAAGGGTGCTAAACGGCAGCCACTGCTGTGAGTTGCCTGCCAGCAGCAAGCCCTCAGCTCCCTTCCAGGGAGGACACCATGACTATTGGCTGCCACCACGGATCTCCTGCATGTGTGGTGCAGGAGAACCTGCACCTTCTCTTCCTCCTCATCCCTTAGAGCCCCTTTGTCACCCAGCAGGATCCAGCTCTGCTCCCCAAGAAACCAGTAGACCCCACAGACTATGGGACACGGGAGCTCATGAGGAGCTGTCTGTTCTCACTCCAGGCTTTTCAACATAAAAGGGATATAAAACTAGGGATAAACGTCTCTTGACAAAGATCTCTGGGGCTGTGGGATGGTTTCTGAAGGACTCATTTACCAGAGGTTGTACAAGCAAACTGTAATAACCCTTAGATATATCCCCCACTGGCCTGCAGGGGTGGATGTGTGCCAAGAGCGAGGTGTCTCCCATCTCTGATGTCTGTGACTGACCATAATGCTTTTTGAAGCCTTTGTAATAGGCTTTCTTTGTGTAAAAGCAAATGGGAGCTGCCAGTCCCTGTGCCATGCTGAGGCTCAGCTCATTGCTGCTCTGCATCTTTCAACAGAGCATGTTTCCTTGAACTTAGCTGTTACTCTCCCAAGCACTAACAGCATCCTTTTGCAGCAGCAGAAGGACAAGGACATTGTGCAGCGTGAGCAAAACACCACAGCATGGGCTCACAGCTTAGTCTGCCCCGTACAAGCAGGAACAGGGGTCAATGTCTGTGAAGCTGCTCTATTTTATGGCTCTCATAAATGAGCAGTTTAGTCACAGATATTTTAGGGCTGCCTTTTGTGAGAGGTCCTTAAAATCAATCATTCTCTTCCAGCTATGCATGGCAGAATGAGTGGGGACCAAGATGCTGGCTGCCATTGCTACGTACTGGGTACGCTGGTGAGCAAATCTGGCACTGCTGAAGCCCAAACAGAGCTGAAGAAGAAGGTGCTTCACACCCTCTGGGAGGAGGTCCTGCGATTCCCATTAACAGAGGAGGAGATGCCGGAGGGGACATTGACTCTCACCCTGAGAAACTGCGACAAGTTCTCCAGACACAGCATTGTGGGGGAACTCAAACTGAGCCTTGCTAACATGGAGGAGTCCTTTGGGACAGCCCAATGGGAAAGGCTAAAGATCCCAGAGAAGGTAAGGACCCGGGGATTCTAATGATTTTGGTTTGGGCAAGAGAAGGCCTCTTCCATGTCAGTGGGTGGCTGTATTTGTTTGGAGCAAGGTTTAGAGGGGTGATGTGTGACTGCAGATATCACTCTGCACTGCTCTGTGCTGGTCTCTAGCTAAAACCATTCCAGAAAACAACCAAAGGCTCATCAACCAGCCCTTCCATCTACAGCTTCTGGCAGTTAAGATGTGTCAGAACTCCCTCGCCTCCTCCTTCAATTACACGACCCTTGACATCGGTATCTCTAATTTAAAGCCTATGTCTAGAAGTTATATGGGCTTCTGTGATTTAGTGATGCAGGACCATAGTAGCAAGATCTGGAACACCAGAATGAGTGCTTACAGAGCAGGATGGAGGGACTCTGCAGAGCTGGATGTGGGTGAGGCATATAGGGACACCTCAGGGAGCCTTAAGCTAGGAATGAAGTACATTGTTGGGACCGAAATGCTGGCCTGAAGACAACTTATCCTTCTGGGATCAATCCAGTGCTGTATGTTCTGGTAGATGTCAAAACATCACTCATTGCATTGTGTTGGTCTAAAACATTAAACCCTCCTTTTCCTTCCTTATCCAGCTGCACAGGCAGGGAAAATGGAGAGAAGATTACACCAGTACTTGAAGTAGGTACAGGGGATGCTTCACATGCACTAACTTCTTGCACATCTCCTCAGGAGCCTTTTCCTTGCCATGATCTAGATTCTTCTTTTAGCAGCAGCAATGCACTTAACAACATGCTGCTATTGTTGCTACTAGTACATTGCTACAAGTGGGTACCTATTGTACTCTGGTATATGGGGTGAGCAATGCAAAACAACAGAATCGCTGTCGCTACTCATGCTGAAATAAATGATTGCCTATCACCATCGGGGGTGAGGGCTCTCCACTGGGATGGCCACAGGCACCGAGTACAGAGTTAGAATGTCTGATTTCCTACAATGCTCATTTACCTGATCACCACTTGAATGTTAACAGTGCTGGCCTTTAAAAATCCTCTGGCAGAGAGAGAGGCAGCAGAAACAAATGAGAGGTTTAATAAGCTTCAAGAACCAGGCTAAATAGCTGCATATTAATAATGAGCAGCCTAACAGCTAAATTGAACTCAGTTCCCAATCCACTGCTGCAAAAAGAGGTGTCCGAAAGTAATTATTCCAATGATTTAAATTCCTAAACTGAGATAGATGGAGCCTCCCCCTCATCTACTGCAATCTCTGCTTTGTAAGCAATACCCAAGGAACAGCCTGTGCACAGCAATGGTCAGTTGTCACTCAAGGGCACCCGATGGAGTCCTGACACGCTGGGAATTCTGCCTTGGTCCAGCTCCACAACTCTGCAAAGGAACAGGGCAGCATTCATTTCTTCTCCAGGCTGACAGCACAAGGTTAACACTCACAGCATTGCTGAGCAGTGCCCCAGTTTGAGCTGAGGATGTGCAGTGAAAGCTGAATTTGCGTCATCTGGGACCTGAGAGAGCCAACCATTGCACAGAGAGCTTATATACAGATCCTGAATCAGTCATTGAGAACCAGAGCGGGAGGGAGTGAGGAGGAGCTGATAAAAAAGAGGAGCTATTTTTGACAGCATCCATCCAGGAACAAAGTTTCTGGGCTTTAAACAAAGTCTGACATTTCCTTGAGATGCCATGAGAGGCAGAAATCTCATCCCTGCCTTCCCAGTGATTCTCCCACACACAAGGGAAGGAGCTCAGAGCTAAGCAGGTAGCGCAATTCGTATTCAGGAATTCAGTGAGTTCTGTGAGCAATGCAAACACAGATCCTGCGGGCTGATATCCTTATCTTGTCTTCCTTCCCTCCCACTGCCTTGCTAATGACAGTGATGATAGTGGCTCCTCGAATAGCACCTTCCCCTTTGTGATGCACACGTAATTCATTGATAACTCCCTGATGCTTTCTGTCCTGTTGTACAGAAGGGAAGACTGAAAGGCTCTGGTGGTTGTGTGAATTGTAGCACAAAAGGCAGGTTATGGATTTAATAGGAAAAAGGAAAATACAGAAAACAGATCCCAGAAGGAGTGGGAAGGAAAACTACCTTTGTCTTGGTCTCCTCACACAAAACTCCAGCAGGCACCAAACCACTGTAGGTTTTGTGTTCATGTGGATACAGACTGGTCAAAAACTTGATGAGAATAGTAGGAGCTTGCGAGCCATAAGCACCAGATGTGGTGTGTGTGTCTGTGTGTACGTGCATGAGTGTGTGTGCACGTTTACAGAGCCCTGCCGACCCCTATCTCCAATCTCCACGTTATCTATGTGTGCCTGGAGCTACAGGAACCAAATTCTAGCCAAGAGCTATAGTGTGAGACCTGGTGAGATGTAGAGGGAGTAAATAAACAAAAGCAGCTTATGACCTGGCTTAACTGTGGTTGTGTACTGAGGTGGTATTTGTATTTGTCCATTCCTGTACAAACACCCATTCTTTCATAGTGAATATGCATCTATTTGAATCTGCCTCTGTTTGGTTCTGTGTTGTGGGGCTTTTTAGCATCTACTTAGATGTAGGGCAGGATTTATGCGAGTGAAATGCACACGAGCCCTTTGTTTCTACCTGAGCTCTTGAGAAGGAGATTTACTGGGGCTGAATTGGGATTGGATTTCAGGCTTCCTTGCTAATGGCCTCCCCCCTGATTTGTGCATGACAAATCAGTCATTCAAACCAGACAGCGATGACAACCGTGTTTGCTGCAGAGTCAGTCGGCTCCTGGGGAGCACACAGGGGCCTGCCCCTGCCTGTTGTGAGTAACCGGGTGAGAACTCAATCTGAAATATTTATGGCTCACTTAGAAGCATAGCGCAGAGTACAGAAATGGCCTGGAGAAGGGCTGCCTGTCCTGAAGCGTGTAGATCATGCTAAGGAGTCCAAAGGGAGTCTATTGAATTGACATTGGCTTTCTGGGGCTCTTCTGGGTCATTAACCTCACACTAAAGCAGATTTCTGTCACAAGCTCCTACTCACTGAGAGAATTACTGCTCCCTTTTTGCTCCTTGCCACAGGCTGGCAGCTCTGCATGTACCAGCATGGGCTTTCCTGGCTTCCCTTGCTTCCCAGCCAGCTCCCGAGGAGGAAATGGCACTGTTCTCCCAGGGAAGAGTGATGGGTGATGCGGTCCCTCTGCTTCCCCCTCCGGGGGTGCTTGCCCAAGGCAAGGGGGAAGGATAGGTCAGGAGGCTAAGAGGCCAATCACTAATGGGAAGAAAGGAATAAAAGAGAAGAAAAGGAAAGAAAAACAAAAGTGTGCCCTGCTGAATGAGGACCGATGGTTCCAAGCCTTTGTCCTGGAGGAAATCCCGCAGGGCAGCAGGGAGAGATGCCCACAAGCTGGAGGGAAGACTGCTGGAAAGGAAGAGGAGATAAAGCACTGTGGAGCTCATGGAGGATTTCAGGATGGGTGGGCTTTTTACTATATCAAGTGAGGGTGTCAGAGAAGATTCAGCTCCAGCTCCAGCTCCAGGGTCTGGCTGTGGCACAGCCCTGGGTATATCCTACTCTTTCCTAGGGAGACCTACACTCCTGCTAGGCAGTGTGGACCACGGTCCATGTGAGGTCAGGGCCTTCTGAGAAAATGAATCATAGAATCATAGAATGGTTTGGGTTGGAAGGGACCTTAAAATTCATCCAGTTCCAAATCCCTGCCATGGGCAGGGACCCCTTCCACTAGAGCAGCTTGCTCCAAGCCCCTGTGTCCAACCTGGCCTTGAACACTGCCAGGGATGGGGCAGCCACAGCTCCTCTGGACAGCAAGCTTCTCATGTCTCACCACCCCCATAGTAAAGGTATTTTCCTAGAATCTAATATAAATCCACAGTAGCAGCTGAAATGAAGAGTGAATAATGGAAGTAGGGGATGTAAATAAAGAGCAGCTAGATAATCTCAAAAAATGAGTATCTGACTACTTGCATGTAGTTCAGCCCCAAATCCTCTTCTTCTGATTAAATATTCCACTAAAAGTAGATGTAAGGAAGCAGTTACTTTCCAATGACAAAAGAAAGCATAACTCACAAAAGAAAGCAGTAACTTAAATGTGGAGGACAGACATCTTTGTCAAGTTTATTCTCATCCAATGTAACTGGAAAGATATCCCCTGTACAAAGACACGGAGACAACTTGGTCGGTTCATCACCTCATACTATTTAGCGCTCCTAAATAGTACTCTAGTATTCCACGTTATGGCCATGATTGTATATAAAAGGAACCCTTCCTTCATCTCTGTTTCCAGGAGCCATCTACGGGCCATGGGGAGGTCCTGCTCTCCATCAGCTACCTGCCAGCAGCGAACCGCCTGCTGGTGGTGATCATCAAGGCTAAAAACCTCCATTCCAAGCAGCTGAAAGATCTACTTGGCAATGGTGAGTAGAACAGCAAGAAAACAGAGACTGTTGTTTCTGCTGTTATGTAAATCTAGAAGGAAAGTGGGAAGTGTGGTTGTTTGGCAGAAAAAAAGTAAATGTTTGTCTTAGAAAGCCAAAGAGATTTGAATAATCGCTAAAAAGTGAAAACCAAAACCAAGATCAATGTTTCTCCTGTTCTCTCTCTCAGTCACCAGTTAGTTAGAATTCTCTTGCATTCATTTTGTCTCATGCTCATTAACATGGTGCCTCTTTCCACTCCCTATACAGATGTTTCTGTCAAGGTGACACTGAGGCATCAGTCCTTGAAGCTGAAGAAGAAGCAGACCAAACGTGCAAAGCACAAGATCAACCCTGTGTGGAACGAGATGATCATGTTCGAGGTGCCTCAAGAGCTCCTGCGTGCCTCCAGTGTGGAGCTGGAAATGCTGAGCCAGGTTGGTGCTGGGCAGAGCCACGTGCTTGGCAAGTGCAGCCTGGGCTTACATGCCACGGGCACAGAGAGGAGCCATTGGGAAGAAATGCTGAGGAACCCCAGGAGACAGATCGCCATGTGGCACCAGCTCCACATGTAGGCTCCTGGTGATTCCTGCCTCTGAGCCTGGGCGAATAAGCTGCATTTCACCTTCCCCTCCACAAAGCTTACCAGCACAGCATCCTTCTTATACCCCCTTGTCTGATTTTCCTGCCTCATCCTAGCCAGGGAGACTGCCTGGAAAATGTATTTAAAGGACAATGTCTCATCTGATCAAGTGGTTCTCTCAAACAAGGGGGTTGGCTGCCTGGATGATTTGAATTAATTCCCACTGTCATCTGTGTGAGGTCCTTGTTTCTGTAGAGGAGTAAAGGTATCATGGAAATGTAAGATCATCCTTGGCATCTGGCTCTGTCACTCAAGTCCTTGATGAGTGCTGGCTCCATAATCACAAACATGTGGCGGATGTTTTACCAGTCATTATTTTCCGTAATACTTTATAAGACTGTGAGAAATGCAGATCACAGAAGTGACTTTCACTGCAGACATGAAGTATCAATATGAAAGAGAGTGAAGAAGATGTGCAATAAATGGGTATCTAGAACTAAGAGAGAAAACAGAGGAAGAAGAGAGTGAGACAGTCAACACTATCATCCTATGTAGCCTTTGAAGCAAACACTGCCAAACAAGAAGTCAAATACCTTCATGTACTTTTGTTTCCTGGAGTGTTTGATATTTAGGATTCATGAAAACCACTGAAAATGTGAATGTTTCAGGATCCTTCAGCACAATACCTATATCTTCTATCTTTCCACACCGTCACGCAGGAAGACCCTAAACACAGACAAGAAGTCACCTCCAAAAACCTGGACCAAATCTTTCTGCTTACTGCCATGTTTTCTGTTTGTTTTTTTTTCTGAGCTAGGAAATTTCAAATACTTTTATTCCAGGCAACATTTAAGACGAGGGAAGAGAAATGAGATCATTTCATACCTTAGCAGTGGATTGACGGTTTTGGTTTGACAGTTAACTATTGCACCCAAATCCTCATACCAGCCTTACTCAAAACCAACCCTTAAGAACTGCCATGTATTTCATCACTTCCAGACAGAAGGAATTCACTGACCAGACAGACTCCCCAAGGCTTGTTTTTTTGTGTGTGCACATTCAAGACTTGATGTAGCTTAAATGTTACTGTTTACTGTCCTTTTGTGTCTCGATGGCCTGAAAGTCTGGCGTTGGCAGTGATGATGTTATGACCCCATAAGCACACTGCTTGTCCTACCACTTCATTTAAAGGAGTAGACAACAGCTTTAAAGGACTTCAACTGGGACAAGGCACTCAACAGTCTGAAAACAGAACCATGTAGTTTGTAGCACTGAAAAACTCAGAGAACTTCATATTTGCAGGGTCAACTTGATCCTCTGTTCAATTCAGAATATAAGCTAAGCTTTATCTAGTACCCATCCCATTTTGATGGCTTAGTCAAACAAGTCTAGCGCATGCTGCTATCCTGGTGGCAAAGGGAAAACACCAAAACCAGTGCCTGAAAACTGACTGAAGTGACAGCACAGTTACAAACAGGGCAAGGAAGCTCAACTGGAAGCCAGTCACTAAGTGGTGACTGGAGCTGGTAGTGGGGATGGCACTGCTTAGCATCTTCTTAAATGACCTGGACAACAGGGCTGAGTATGCCCTCAACAAGTTTGCAGATGGTGCAACACTGAGAGTAGTGGTTCATACACCAGGCAGTTGTGCTGCCATTCAGAGCCATGTGGAGAGGCTGGAGAAATGGTCTGACAGGACCTTCCTGAAGTTCAACAAGAAGAGCTAAGTCCTGCACCTGCAGAAGAACAACCGCATGAACCAGTGCGGGGCTGGAGCTGACCATCTGGAAAGCAGCTTCCTAGGAAAGGACCTGAGCATTCTGTTGAACATGACCCAGCAATGCGCTCTTGCAGCAAAGAAGGTCAATAGTGTCTTGGTCTGCAACAGGAAAAGCATTGTGAGCAGGTCAAAGGGGTGATCCTCCCTACTCAGCTCTGGTGAGGGCACATCTGGAGTGCTGCATCTACTTCAGAGCTCCCCGGTGCAAGAAAGATATGGACTTACTGGAGAGAGTGCAGCAAACGGCCATGAAGATGATGAAGGGACTGGAGCACCTTCTGCATGAGGAGAGTTTGAGAGAGCTGGGTCTGTTCAGCCTGGTCAAAAGAAACACTGGGGGGAGCTTAGCAATATATATAAATACCTGATCTAGGAGAAGACTCTTCAGTGCTGTCCAGTAACAGGACAAGAGGCAAGGGCACAAATTGCAATAAAGGAAATTCCATTTGAACACATGATAAAAACAAAGAAAAATTATTCTGAGGATGGCCAAACACTGGAACAAGTTGTCAAGAGAGGATGTTGTGAGTTTCCATCCTTGGAAACAAAACTTGATGGGATACAACACTGAACCACCAGATCTAGTTTACCCCTCTGGGTTTGGACAAGATGATCTCCAGAGGTGTTTTCCATCCTCGGCGATGCTGTGGTTCTGTGAAGAGACTGACAAGGTTGATGCACACTGAAAAGTCTGTTACCCTCTGTAGGTAAAACTGCTCTTCCCTTTAAAGCTGGTGGAGCCAGGAGTTACAGGATCATTTTAGAGAGTGATAGAAACAGCTCCGATCAGCCAACCAAACAGACAAGCTAAGTACGCCAATGGACCTTAGAGCTAATGTTTCAATCTCTGGTATTGCTCCACTGGCTAGAGGGGAATTAAACAAGAAATAATTGACTTCTTGTTTTGCTCTGTGGGGCTTTGTTTATTAACTGAAAGCTGTAGGATGCTGCAAGCAAAGTAGACACAGGGTTTCAGGTTGATAGTGCATTCTTAATAGCTGCTCTGTTCATAGGTGCCTGCAGATACAGATTTGGAATCGTTATTTCCTTGAAGTGCAAAAGTCATTGTAATGTTGGCCTACTCCACAAAGAGGCTCCTGGCAGCACTGTGATTCTCCCTTCTATTTAGGATAACGATAAGGATAATCCCCCGGTATGAACCTATTTGGCTGGCACCGGAAAGCCTAAAGGGCGAAATATTTGCCTTGCTGCCAAGAGATTTCTTTAGTTCTGTCTCCTGCTTATTTTAATGAACCCTTTATAACATCTTGGTGACTGATGGTAAACAGCATTATCTGCCCCTAGAGATTTTGGCACACCCTGTAATTAGACAGCAATCCTATGGCATTCTAAAGGCACAGCCCCTCACATAATCTCATAATGTCCCTTTTACGTGTCTACACACTGCTTAACTACAAATCTGTTTTAGGAGCAAAGTGGTGCCATCACTGTTAACAAATGGTGGTGTTGCCTCACTTTGCTGCAACGGGATTTAAATAGGAAAAAAGGAAGAGGGAAAGCTCATGCATCTTTCCCAGCTGGATCATTTCTGTTGTCGGGCATTTTATCCTGGTAGGAATGTTTCTCCCATTCAGCTCAACCTGAACAAAGCCTGACGGGTGCTTGTTTAATGAGGCAGCATTTGATGTGCTGGGGCTGGAAGCGGGAGCAGGGAAGGGCGCTGGTTTTCCTGGGCAGGAGGAATGCTGCGTACGTGTGGTACTGGAGGGGCAGGGACCCTCAGCTCAGGCCCTTTTGAACTCTGTTAATAGGAGCCGTTTGTCGCCGCATTCCATTGCCTGCCATGGCCCTGCCCTCATCCCTGTTTAGCAATGCTGTATGCCCCTAAGCCTCAGCACCCCAAGGGCTGGAGATGCTAAACTGGTCCAAGCAGACAAACTGCAGGGAGCTGTTGTGGTGGATGACAACGTCCTGAATACAAATGCAACGTGTTTGGAAATGCATCCTGCCATCATATCCAGCAGCTTCAGCAACACAAGCTGGTGAAGCATCACCCAAGTGCAGGAGGGACAGGGAACCGAGCCAGGCAACCCTTTGGTTTTCAGCTCCTAAATCCAGGAACGTCACGAATGTCTTCAATCAAAGGGTGCTGCTTATAAACTGCATCATAAGAGAAGCAGCAAAAAAACCCCCCACAGGCAATTAATGTTCTTTAGCTGTGTGTGTGACCAAAAATAGGCATTAGAGTCCGCAGTGGCTATTTGGTGGTTGCACTGATTATTCTTCTTCATGTTGTTCGTCTCATTATTCTTCTTCATGTTAATGGGTTATAGCAAAAACCCATTAACATGAAGAAGCTGTAAGCCAAGAGACTGCAGGGAGGAAGGAAATGAAAACAGAGGGTGGGGGGAAATCTACCTGGTCAGAATGAACAGTCCTGTCACCAAGGGACAGAGAGAAACAAATTTAAAGACAGGGATTCACAGTCCCTTGTCCAGAGACAAAACCCAAACAACACAACTACTGTAAAACAGAATGAGAAATGCAGCTCCCATATTGCATCCAGCATGCCCTGGGAGAGGTGGTCTCATGCTGAGGCCTCTGGACAGGACTGAGAGGCCAGAGGAGATAACTTGAGGCTAGTTACTTGGTTAAAATATAGATTATAACCATATGTTGCTTTGCCTTGACTTGCCCTCAGAGCTAGATCTTCCTAGAGAAGTGATTTAGTCTGATTTTAGGCAATTTGTGCTGCAGTAGAAGAGATCTAAAAGCACAATCATTGATAGTTATTAAAACATCTCTGGGATGCTTTAGACATCTCTGGGATGATTTAGACTCACTACTACCCTCACCCCTTCCCCAGTTGTAAGGGGGAGCAGTTGCAGCTGGTCTCCTGTAAGGATAACACTATTTCAATGCAGTTTTCCCCTCACTTCGCATCCCAAATATCCTCACATAGTGATAGGAACCATGTTTGCTTTGCAAAGAGGGAATACATCAAAATCAATGGAAAATTCCCTTCAACTGGGCTGGAAAAAGATTCAGGCTTAACTGTTCTCCCAGGCACCACTGTGCTTTCAACACCTTGAGCAAAAGTACTTTGCATTTTGCTAGCATCTGCTGTCGGTATTATCTGGCAGTGGTGCCCAAAGACACCCAGATTGGTTTTCTTCCAGAATGCAGGAGGTTGCAATTTGGGTTCTAGAAATACAGCCCGAGGTTTTCCCAGATTTTCCTCATGTCTAAGATGCATTGGGCATGGTGATGTTTAGGAAGAGTTGGGAGCTAATGTGGCTTGGACCATGCTCCCTGCACTCTTTTGAAGGTCAGTTTGAAGTTGGATTGAATTGAAGGGCAGAGCTTTCACAGCATTTTTTATGTGTTTCTGGTTTTCACTAAGTCTCAAGTGTATTTGATTCTTTTGTTGAAAGAGAAGCATGATGCGTAAGTACCAGTACTTGACACCTTATATTGTTTGTTCTATCGGTAATAATCAAACTGCACAAGAACAGTAGCAAAGTGAAATAGTGTTTTGTAGCCTTCCAGCATGAGAAGGCTTTTCTGCTTACTTGGTCCTTTGGTGTCCCAGTGTTTATTGTACAGAGCCACATATCGTTTGTCAATACTCTATATTGTTCACACAGTCCAAAGCACAAACCAGAGCATGAGGCTCAGCCTTTGCGTTCAGTGTTAGAGCACAACATGTAAATCACTGCAAGTAAATGATTCCAAACCGTTCCAACAGTGTGTATGTGTTGTTTCCCCCCTTGCTTGCAGCTCACGTCAGGGGTACAAAGGACAGGGATGAGCCAACAGAAAGTCCTCAGAATGGTGTCACCAAGGATGGGTGTATGAAGGGAAGGGGAGCAGTCAGTTATGGAGTCCTACCATGGCCAAGCACAGGGAATCTATTGGCTTTTCCAGCAAGGTGGCAATTAAACAGTGTTGGAAAGGCTTTCCTGCCACTGTAAGGAGGTTAGGGAATAGAATCTGGGAATCAGGTTCCTCCCAGATACTGGCTCCATCTCTGAAACAAAACTAAGAAGTGAATTTGGATTCAGTCTTTTTGCCACTCAATACTTCCAAGTAACTGCTGCAGTAAGGAGGAACACCTACTTAGCTGACCTAATACCATCACTGCAACGAGCTGATTCCTAACAAGACATAGAGATCAAAAACAGTACATAAAAGAGAAAGCAGATTTTGGGGGCAGGAGTGGGAAGCATTTACCTCACTGACAGTTTGGGGGCACCCTCTTACCCATCACAGTCTGCATTAAAGCGCAAGGAGGAATAACAAAGCAAACCTGCCAGAGCCCTCTCAAATGGATGTCACCAGCCTGTCTGCTGCACAGTGAGGCTGATGCTACTGAAGCATTACCCATAGAAGTGGGGGCAAAGGAGCTGTGTTTTTGCTGCACAGGGAGTGCATTTGCCAGGGACAATCCTTCCCACGGGATTAGCACGGGGTTACTCAGTAATTTCCAGCCCACCGCACTGAGAAGCAGCAATAGCTGCTGCAGAACCATTCTTCTCTTAACGCTGCTGCTCGTTGTCACTTTGGAGTTATCAGAAGCTTTTCCTCCTCCCACGGTATTTAAACGTTAAAATGGGACTGGCCCCTAATCCTCTGTGTGCCAGGAGAGTGGCACTTAATCCACCACTGTGCAGCCATTGACAGTGATGGCCATAGAGGTTTGCAGCCTGTTCCTCTGCTTCCCTGAACTTAGTGCCTGCTGAATGTGGGATCATAGAATCACAGGTTGGGTTGGGCTGGAAGGGACCTTAAAGCTCATCCAGCTCCAATCCCCTGCCACGGCAGGGACACCTTCCACTAGAGCAGCTTGCTCTAAGCCCCTGTGTCCAACCTGGCCTTGAACACTGCCAGGGATGGGGCAGCCACAGCTTCTCTGGGCACCCTGTGCCAGCGCCTCAGCACCCTCACAGTAAAGAACTTCTTCCTTATATCCAACCTGAACTTCCCCTGTTCAATTCTGAACCCATCACCCCTTGTCCTATCATTACAGTGCCTGATGATGAGTCCCTCTCCAGCATCCCTGTAGGCCCCCTTCAGATGTACTGAGAATAAACCCAGTGAGGAAGGGGCTCCAAGATGCCCCTGAGAAGACAGCTCAGACCTGAAGCCTACCCAGTTCTCCAGGACAGCTCTCCCGAGCATCACAATGTGAGGCAGCTCTGCAAATCCCATCCCAGTGCCATACAAGGCTCCCTATCTCCATCCCATCCCCAGCACCTCCATGCTGCTTTCCCACCCCTCTGTGCCTCTGGAGGGACCATCAGTGTCCCCATAAGTGGGGCAGCTGCAGCAGCACAGACAGCACACTTGTTTTCCCCCTTGGATCAAAACAACATCAAACGGGGCACTTCAGAGAGCTCAGAAGCCTAGCTGGCACATATGCTGTTCTGCAGGAGGCTTTGATTATCCTGCAGATATTTTTAGAGCCCCTTGTAAATGAGCTGTGGCTCCATCCGTTGGAACAGCTCTGCAAGAAGCAGCCTCTGGTCCCCTGTGCCCACTGCTCTGTGTCACCACAGAGCCAGCCCCATCCCTCTGATTCAAACACCTTGGGGGTATCCACTTAAACCCACTCGTGTCACTGATGTGCTTGGCTGCCCATGCTCCCCTCCTTCCTCAGGAGATGTAGATAGGGAAGACAGACCCAGGAAGCACCGCAAACCTCTCTGTAGTGCCTGCAAGCATCGCATCACAACTCCCGTTTCCAGGAAGAAACAACACGTTGGGGTTATTTTGCTAAATCAAGTTGTAAATGCCAGCTGCTGATCAACAGCCATCTCCATGGACCATGTCCAGGACACCAGCGGGGCTGAGGAGGAGCACACCAGGCTTTAGTGCTATGACAACCATCACAAAGGAGTGTTTCAATTTCCTTTTCACTCCTGTTAACGTGACAATCAGTGGCCCTAAACACCAAGGGCACCTTTAGCCCTACATCAGATTTACTTGTGCAAGCTTCCCTTCCTGAC